AACATCTTACTAAAGATAGCCATCAAACCACAAGGGAAGAGAGCAAGATAAAAAGAAAGAAACAGAGAAGAATCACTAAAACACCCAGAAAAAAAGAAAGTGACGAAATGGCAATAAATGCATATTTATCAATAGCTACTTTAAATGTCAATGGACTAAATGCTCCAATCAAATGCCATAGGGTGGCCAACTGGATGAAAGAACAAGACTCATGTATATGCTGCATACAAGAGACACTCTTCAGACCTAAAGACACTCACAAAGTGAAAGTGAAAGGATGGAAAAAGATATTCCATGCAAATGGCAAGGAAAAGAAAGTGGGGGTAGCAATACTTATATCAGACAAAACAGACTTTAAATCAAAAACTGTAATAAGAGACAAAGACGGGCACTACATAATGATAAAGGGAACACTCCAACAAGAAAATATAACACTTGTAAATATCTATGCAGCCAATATAGGAGAAATTAAACACATAAAGCAATTATTAACAGACATAAGAGGAGAAATAGACAATAACACAATAATAGTAGGGGACTTTAACACTCCACTTACACCAATGCATAGATCATCCAAACAGATGATCAATAAGGAAACACTCACCTTCAAGGTCACATTAGACCAGATGGACTGCGTAGATATATGCAGAACATTGCATCCAAAAACCACAGAATACACATTCTTTGCAAATGCCCATGGAACATTCTCCAGGATTGATCACATATTAGGCCACAAAACAAGTCTCAATAAACTTAAGAAGACCAAAATAATACCATGCATCTTTTCTGACCACAAAGGTATGAAACTGAAAATCAACTACAGAAAGAAGACCAGAAAAGCCACAAAAATGTGGAGATTCAACAAAATGCTACTGAACAATGATTGGGTCAATGAAGAAATCAAAGAAGAAATAAAAAAACTCCTGGAGACAAATGAAAATGAAAACACGATGTACCAAAATCTGTGGGATACAGCAAAAGCAGTTCTACAAGGGAAGTTTATAGCAATTCAGGTCTACCTCAACAAAGAAGAAAAATCCCAAATAGACAATCTAAAAGTGCACCTAAAGGTACTGGAAAAAGCACAACAAACAAAGCCCAAAATCAGCAGAAGGAAGGAAATAATAAAAACCAGAGCAGAAATAAATGAAATAGAGACTAAAAAAACAATAGAAAAAATTAATGAAACCAAAAGCTGGTTCTTTGAAAAGATAAACAAAATTGACAAACCCTTAGCTAGACTCACCAAGGAAAAAAGAGAGAAGGCTCAAATAAATAAAATCAGAAATGAAAGAGGAGAGATTACAATGGACACCTCAGAAATACAAAAGATAATAAGAGAATACTATGAAAAGCTACACGCCAACAAATTGGATAATCTAGAAGAAATGGATAAATTCTTAGAAGCATACAACCTTCCAAAAGTGGACCAAGAAGATATAGAAAATTTGAATAGACTGATCACCAGTAAGGAGATCGAAACAGCAATTAAAAACCTCCCCAAAAATAAAAGAGCACTGGACGGCTTCCCTGGTGAATTCTACCAAACATTCAAAGAAGACTTAATACCTATCCTTCTCAAACTCTTCCAAAAAATTGAAGAGGAGGGGAGGCTTCCTAACTCCTTCTACAAAGCAAACATTATCCTGATACCAAAACCAGAGAAGGACAACACAAAAAAAGAAAATTATAGGCCAATGTCACTGATGAACATCGACGCAAAAATCCCCAACAAAATTCTAGCAAATTGAATACAACAATACATTAAAAAGATCATACATCATGATCAAGTAGGTTTCATTCCGGGGATGCAGAGATGGTTAAACATCCACAAATCTATCAACGTGATACACCACATTAACAAAATGAAGAATAAAAATCACATGATCATCTCAATAGATGCAGAGAAAGCATTTGACAAGATACAGCATCCATTTATGATAATAACTCTAAATAAAATGAGCATAGAAGGAAAATACCTCAACATAATAAAGGCCATATATGACAAACCCACAGCAGAAATCATTATCAATGGAGAAAAACTGAAAGCTATCTCTCTAAGAACACGAACCAGACAAGGATGCCCACTGTCACCACTCTTATTTAACATAGTATCGGAAGTCCTAACTAGAGCAATCAGGCAAGAAAAAGAAATAAAACGGATCCACAGTGGAAAAGAAGAAGTGAAACTGTCACTCTTTGCAGACAACATGATTTTATATCTAGAAAACCCTAAAAAGTCCACTAAAAAACTTTTAGAAATAATAAAGGAATACAAGTTGCGTGATACAAAATCAATGTACAAAAATCGGTTGTGTTTGTATACACTAACAACGAAGTAGCAGAAAGAGAAATTAAGAATACAATCCCAGTTACAATTGCAACAAAAAGAATAAAATACCTAGGAAGAAACTTAACGAAAGAGGTGAAAGATCTGTACACCAAAAACTATAAAACATTGTTGAAAGAAATCAAAGAAGACACAAAGAAATGGAAAGATATTCTGTGCTCTTGGATTGGAAGAATTAACATTGTTAAAATGTCCATACTTCGTAAAGCAATCTATAGATTTAACGCAATCCCTATCAAAGTTCCAACAACATTTCTTACAGAAATAAAACAAAGAAGTCTAAAATTTATATGGAACTACAAAAGACCCCGAATAGCCAATGGACTCCTGAGAAAAAATAACAAAGCTGGAGGTATCACACTCCCCAATTTCAAATTGTACTACAAAGCCATAGTAACCAAAACAGCATGGTCCTGGCACAAAAACAGACACACAAATCAATGGAACAAAATTGAGAGCCCAGAAGTAAACCCACACGTTTATGGACAGCTAATATTCGACAAGGGAGCCAAGAGCATACGATGGAGAAAGGAGAGTCTCTTCAATAAATGGTGTTGGGAAAACTGGACAGCCACATGCAAAAGAATGAAAGTAGACCATTCCCTTACACCATGCACAAAAATCAACTGAAAATGGATTAAAGACTTGAATGTAAGACCCGAAACCATGAGACTTCTAGAAGAAAACATAGACTGTACGCTCTATGACATTGGTCTGAGCAGCATATTTTCAAGTCCCATGTCTGACCGGGCAAGGGAAACAAAAGAAAAAATGAACAAATGGGACTACATCCAACTAAAAAGTTTCTGCACAGCAAAGGAAACCATCAACAAAATGAAAAGACAACCTAACAATTGGGAGAATATGTTTGCAAACCGCATATCAGATAAGGGGTTAATATCCAAAATATACAAAGAACTCATACAGCTCAACAACAAAAAAGCCAACAATCCAATTAGAAAATGGGCAAAAGATCTGAACAGAGATTTCTCCAAAGAAGATATACAGATGGCCAACAGGCATATGAAAAGATGCTCAACATCATTAGCTATCAGGGAAATGCAAATCAAAACTACAGTGAGGTATCACCTCACTCTGGCCAGAATGGCTATAATTAACAAGACAGGAAACAACAAATGTTGGAGAGGGTGTGGAGAGAAGGGACCTTGTTCGACTGCTGGTGGCAGTGCAAACTGGTACAGCCACTATGGAAAGCAGTTTGGAGTATCCTCAGAAAATTAAGGATAGATCTACCATATGATCCAGCTATTCCACTGCTGGGTATTTATCCAAAGGACTTGAAAACACAAAGGCATAAAGATACTTGCACCCCTATGTTCATTGCGGCATTATACACAATAGCCAAGACTTGGAGGCAACCTAGGTGCCCATCAAGGGACAAATGGATAAAAAAGATGTGGTATTTATACACGATGGACTACTACTCAGCCATAAGAAATGACGAAATCTGGCCATTTGTGACAACATGGATGGACCTTGAGGGTATTATGCTGAGTGAAATAAGTCAGAGGGAGAAAGTCAAATACCATATGATCTCACTCATACGTAGAAGATAAAAATGACCAAAAATACCCCACATAGCATTGGAGACTGGACTGGTGGTTACCATTGGGGAAGTGGGCAGGGGGGAGGGCAAAAGGGGTGATTAGGGTCACATGTGAGGGGATGCACTATAATTAGTGTTCAGGTGGTGAACATGATATGATGTATACAGAATTCGAAATATGATGTACGTCCGAAAAAAATTAAAATTTAAAACAAATTCATGGAGCTATAGAAACAACAGGAATTGACAGTCACAGAACTTGGAGTAAATCTCTGGTTCAGTTCTCTCTGAGCAAATGATTTAATCTCCAAGCCTCAAGTACCACATGGGTAAAACAGGGACAGAGAGCATCATACTGACCTCACACAAATGCAGAGAGGAGTAGATGAATTATGAGCACCTGACTCAGAGCAGGAACTTAATAAACACTAGGTCCTGCTTATTAATAAAAACATACCTGAGAAATAGTGATGCTTTAAAGTTTAAAGTACACATGCATCATTGTTATAGTTTAAATTCCTGGTTTATCAGAATCTTCACCAGACTTTATGGAAAATGCCAAATGTTGGGAAAAAGGCAGAAAAACAACATAATTTGATTAAAGACTTTTGATGGGAATTTAGGAAATATAAAACAACCAGCCATGCTGACCGCCCCTATTTGATGGCTGTCAGCCAAGAGAAGTGGTTGATTGTGATCATTCTGTCTGAAATCCTAAGAAAGTTTTTAATGAATTGACAACAAAGTACAGAAACAAAGTCTGTTGGAGAAAAGTAGTTTCCTCCTTGGCACTCTGGTACACGTTATGGGAACTTATCTTTATAATCACACACTTATCCTGCTTTGTCCTTTGGGTATGCTTTACAGATCATATAAAGGAGTTTTTGGATGACGTGTGTTGTGCAGCTCACTCCTCAGAACATTTGATGTTGTAACTGAAACAGTCATATGGTAGTCTAGATAAAGACATAAGTTTGGAAGCCCATGACAGGCCCAGATCTGGCCCAACAGCTCCAGATTCCATCACTGGTCCCTGACTGAAATGACAACCAGCTTGGTAAGGCCTGTCTTTTCCCTTTTCCCTTACTTCTTTCCTACCTCTCTGTCACCCAGCATCAGCCTCCTCAGTGCCCCATTCGCCTCTTTGTTTCTGAGGGTGTAGATCAGGGAGATCAGGAGAGGCATGATAATGTTGTAGAAGAGGGTGAGGAACTTGCCCTGGTCTTGGGAAGAGCTGTTCCCAGGTTGCCTGCACGTGTACATGATGTCTCCATAGGAAAGTGAGGTCACCGTGAGATGGGAGCCACAGGTGTTGAAAGCCTTTTGCCTCCCTGACACTGACTGAATTTGTAACACTGCCCTCATAATGTAGCCATAGGAGACCAGGATAAGTACCAGAGGTGACAGCACAATGCCCACTGCCAGGACAAAGGCAGTGCCCTCAATAGCAGCTGTATTGACACAGGCCATCCTGATCAGGGCGGGCATCTCACACAGGAAGTGGTCCACATGGTGGTTCCCACAATGTGGTAAGAGCAAGGTAACTGGGGACATGGCCAAGGAGTTGGCCATCCCACAGCCCCAAGCCACCAACACCAAGGCCATGCAGAGGCATGGATTCATGATCACCATGGAGTGAAGGGGATTGCAGACTGCAACAAAGCAGTCTTATGACATGACTGCCAGGAGCAGACACTCCACACCACCCAGACCCAGGAATAGGAAGAGCTGGACAGCACAGCCAGTGTAGCTGATGGTCTTGTCACCTCCACTCAGGTTACAGAGAAGCTGGGGGATGGAGCTGGTGCTAAAACTGAGGTCCAGGAAGTAGAGGTGCATGAGAAAGAAGTATATGGGAGTGTGGAGGTGGAAGTCCAGCCGGAACACCAGGATTATGGTAGTATTGCCCACAAGTGTCAGGAGATATGCAATCGAGATGACCACAAAGTGGATTCTCTCCAGGTGGGGACGATCAGAATACCACAAAAGGATGAAATTTCCCTGGGTGTTGTCATTGGTTCCATCACCTCTACTGCAACTGAAGAGAAATATGGATACTAATAATGGTGACAGTATGTATAAGGGAGCACTTACTATGAGCTAGGTGTTCTATGCTGTTTACATTTATTTATTCATTTAACCCCAACCACAGTGATAAGAAGTTGGCACTCTTATTATCCCTGGCTTACAGAAAAGGAAACTGAGGCAGATGTGTGTTAAGCAAATTATGTTATAGAAAGGGGCAGAAGTGATTCTGAACCCAGGAAATGAGGGTTAGAGTCTTCACCATTCACTGCTGGTACTGCCTCTAATTCCAATGACAGGAAGGACAAATCCTGCCATGACTCAACAACTGATTGTTCTCAAGACACAAGTTCCTAAGCTCCTGCTAAAATCTCAAAGCCCAAAAGAGAGTCCCTGTGTCATCAATTAATGGTATTTAGGAAAGATTCATTATATGGAGAATGCTTCATTTACTGCTTATCCAAAAGACACACCTCACTCGTTTGATCACTATTCTTGTGGTAAACTACCTAAGTAAATAAATAACGTGTGAGGCAGTAGAATATTATTAAAATATTCTCGCTTTCTTTCTCTCTTGGGTCAGGTATTAAAGAAATAGAGTTTTTTTTTCTTTCCAAGTACTATATACCACTTGAGGAGAAAACAATCACAAATCTTTGCAACAGATAGTAAAACTTTAATGCCACAATTCACATATATGTGCAGAAACTTCTTTCAAATTGCAATTCGAAGAATGTACGACATTCAAATCAAAGCATGTCTGAGGACATAAACCACAAGTCTTACAGACTGATATAGGGGAACGGATTTAGAACGTTTGGACTACAACCCCAAACACCCCTGTTGTAATCCCTTAGCCAACAGATACCATTATGAGATTTTGGAACACTCATTTACCTTTTCATAGTTTTCTCATCTAAAATGGGACTAATCAAACTACATTGTTTGTTTTACAGATGTGTTTTGAGATTTTTTTAATATGAAAGACTGTTGGTAAATATGAAAGTTTATATGGATGTTACATCAAGCCTATGTATCATACAAACAGGGAATGGGAAAATAAGCTCATGAGAGTAGTCAGGGAAACTCTGAAAAAGAAAAAAAAAGAAATTATAATGAGGAGAAACTATCCTTAATATATATCCAAAGATGCTTTGAAAATATCATCATTGAAACATAATTGACCAGGCATTTTGGGTGTGGGGAATGTTAATCCTTCATTAACTCCATTCACTCAAACTAGCAACAACTCAAAAATGTAAACATTGAAAAAATACAACTACTAGAAGAAAGTGTAATAGTTGTTCTATTTGTTTGTTTTTCCTGGTTATCTTGGATTTAGGTTGATCTCACTAGGCAACTTGCAATTCTCAAAAGCTCTGAAGCAAAATATACATCAATTTGCATATTTTTAAAAAAGTCTACACTGTAAGAAATACAACAAAATGTAAAGAATAATTATTATCCTAGAGAAATTCAACATAACAAGTGAAAAGCTATCATGTTTAATAATTGTTTCAAGAAATTGGCAAGAGAACATGTAACAAGAAATAGGCAATGATTTGAAGAAGCAGTTCACAGACATAAGATTTACAAAAACATGACTTAAAAGCATTAAATTATTCCCACTGATGATTAAGGGTGTAAATTTAGAATATAAGTATAAAAATATTTTCTTTCTAGATAGATAAGTATTTAAAAATGTGGTATATACAGAGCTAGGAAAAGTGTAGGGAAATGAGCCCATTGACTCTTGATAGGAATTTAAATTGGCATAGTATCTTTGGAGGGATCTTAAAAAAAATCATTAATTAAAATGCACATGTATTTTGACATTGTATCTGTTATTTTAACAAGAGAAACATTTGTATTCCATAAAATTTGGAATTACATGTTTTTTTATGACCCACTCAGTCGCATCTAGGAATCTGTCCTTCATTTATTAACCTGAAACACGTAATTACACCTCCTCAAGAATCTCCACTATAGCATTGATTGAAATGGATAATACTCAGAAACAACGTATATGTTTAAAGTAATTGAAATGATTTTAATAAATAAGAACTTTAAGGACTAGAAAAAAACCACTACTAAATTGAAATAAGTATATGTATGCGACTTCCCCGATATTTTTTCCAAAAGTCCCATTAATTTCAAACAAGTGGAGGGCAACATATAATGTTTAGTGAGATTATATGAAGTGTGATCCCATTTTTTCGGTCAAAAACTCTCTCTAGATACGTATATTTATATTAAAATTGAAACAATATCTGGACGCATACATTGAATTTTTAAAAAAGACTCACTTCTAGAGATTGAGAAGGGGTTTAAAGTAGATTTTCACTTTTACATGATCCTTTATTTATTAAATAATTGAATTATTATGAAATTTTAAAAATGCATATGCATGTATATAGTATAATATATTATTTAGAAAATTTCCTTATAAATAATGCTTTTAATCTGTTAATCTATCCTTTTAACTTTGTCATGATTCTTTTACAGAGATATTGTCCCATTCCTCTTAAAAATATATGTTTTTTAATTAATAAGGTAGAAAAGGAATGAAAGCAGAAAGGAGTACAGGAAGTTAGGAAGGAAAACAGACTGAAACAAATTTTAAATCACCATAATAAAGCCAGTGTTTCACAACAAACTGCTGCACCATTTCATGGTCCTAAAATTGAGAACCCTTTGAAATAAGAGAAAAGTGAAAATGAGGATCTGAAAATAAGGCAAACTCAGTGAAAGGGCAAGAGTTTGGTTTTCATGATAACTTGAGCTCCAACCTGCTTCTGAATGGGTTTTCTCAATTTTGATGTAGAGGGAAGAAGGGCTTCTTTATAGGAAGATTTGCAATAATTGAAAGAGCATGTTCTTGTTAATACCTCACGTCTTTCCAGCTCTTAAACAGGATGCTGCCCTTTCCTCCTCTTGGAACAAGACAGGAGCACTTGTCTTGCAACCAGCCCTGCTGCTAACACACACCTCTTTCCATGGAAGAAACAGATCTCTCACGTGGAAAACAGAGGGCCTTCACTTTCTGAATGGTTCTAAGAAGGGACAAATATTTTCTCCCTTTAAATTTAAACTGTAGCAGGAATATAATGTTTGCTTTTCTCTGTTTAGATGTCCTGAGCATACTGGTCCAGTATTAACAGCCTCCCACTCTCCCCACCTTTCCACTTGCAATTTATACTTTATAAGCACCTTCCACAGCCATTGCGAATATCTTCATATTTAACCTAATTGTTCACTTGTTCTTGCACACAGCAAATTTCATGGTATGTCATGTGAACTCATCACCACTCTCCTGGTGAGAGGAGAGATAGGGCAATAGGCATTCTTTTATCTTTTATACATGGACTCAGTGTAGCATCTCAAAGAATGAATACTTAATTGCTAATGTGGCAGTTCAAGTCTTTCCTACCTTAGGGAAGCATTTACTTGTCATTGCTCAAATCTAGAAAAACTGAAAACTGTTCTCAAGTACTAAACTGGAGAGACCTGAGGTCTCCTCACACACAAGTGCGTGGTGACACATGGAAAGTTCAGGGAATGAAGCCAATGATTGACAACTCATGGTTTTTCAGGCATGATTTTGTCTGGAATTGGAGATGGCAGAGCATCTCACTTGTATTAAGGGGAGTATTGCTTTGTAAAACATTTGTTCAATGTGTGTATTTGGAAGTGAGTGTGCTGCCAGTGTGCAGCAGGGTAAAATATATGTTTCCCTTTAGGTTCTGGTCAAGGAATGTGAACACTATTGCCCCCAAATGCACCTGCTGCCTCAGACATGCCCACACTCAAACCACAAGTCAACAAAATGTCGTTTTTTCAGTTCCTAGAGGGTGAGTGGTCATATGGTTAAAGATTTTAGTTTACTCCCAAAACATTTTTATTCTTGAAGATTAAAGAGTTTTAAACTCACAAAAAGTGTGGCAGCAATTGCAGATGATATGAAATGGAATCAATGTTTTCAGACCAGGGAGCAGGCCTAGATCACCTCAGTCAAGAGCTAACATTTTCCCATCTCCCTCCATGAGATCGATAATACCCTTTTCAATGCTATTTTTTCAAAATGAAACTCACATTGCTGATTGCATTTTCTTACATCTGCCTGACAAATCTCAGTCACTCTTAACAAACACTGGTGTCAACATAAAAAAAAAAACTTTCTATTTTGTGTTTCTTCATGTTTTGTTTCCTCAGCACTTTTATGTTTCATCTTTTTTTTTAAGATTTCATTTTTTTCTCTCCAAAGCCCACAGGTACATAGTTGTATATTCTTCCTTGTAGGTCCTTCTAGTTGTGGCATGTAGGATGCTGCCTCAGCGTGGTTTGATGAGCAGTGCCACGTCCGCGCCCAGGATTCGAACCCAGGAAACATTGGGCCACCTACAGCAGAGTACGCAAACTTAAGCACTTGGCCACGGGGCCAGCCCCTATATTTCATCTTTTAAACATCATTTCGCATTGATAAATTTATTGCTGTGTTAAAAGTAAATAGCATGAGTCATGATGTATGTGCTTGTGTGTAGATTTCTGTCTTAGTATTTCTCTCATCATCCATAAACTTTCCAAGATCAAGGAGAAATTTCCTCATTTTCTTTTTTTCTTTCCCTTTGAGGAACTCCATATAGCTTTTTATATTTAACAAGCCAACAGAAAAGTACAGACTTCTGCGGTGAGCTTCTAAATCTATAAATCTATTCACCATTTTTATTTGTAAGCTACAAGAAACCATTGAAGTTCAAAAACCAGAAGGTGCAGATTTAGTTGAAGGACCTTGACAGGAATGGGCAATGTCTTCTCTCCTCCTGAGTGCACACAGGTGCTCCAGCCAGGTACAATTCTAGATGTGGGAGGAAATGAAAGTGTCACTCCTGGGCTTGGCCCATTCCTCTATAAATGTAATAGACCATGATATTTGTGCGGCAGTTCTTATGGCAATGACAACATGATGCAACTCTCTCAAGGATAGACTAGAGAGGGATGCTGATGGTGGTCTGAGTTCATCAACAGCTCCAAGTTCTGGGGAATCTTCTGAACCCATGGCGCTATTAGTACTTACA